CGAAACAGGGAGACCCACTGAGCTCCCTACTCTTCAACGCTCTTCTACAATACATCCTTGGACCGCTGGTTTCCGAATGGCAGCAAAAAAGGAAGGGGGTTGAATTGGGATTCGCGAGCACCGCCGCGCTGACCAACCTACGCTTCGCCGACGATGTGCTCCTGACCAGCTAAACGCTCCCGCGCTTGACAGCGATGCTTGACGACATTGTGCGCGCGACGAGGGTGCACGGGCTCGAACTGCACCCAGGCAAAACCAACATACTGAGCAACCAGGCGAGAAGGACCAGAAGGGCGAGCTCACGCACAGCACGTTTCCAAGACATGGATATAGAAATCGTTCCATACGAGGGCAGTCTCAAATATTTCGGCCAATGGATCAGCTTCCGCGAACCAATGGAAACGGAAATCCACCACCGCACGCGAGCTGCATGGGCATCATTCACGTCTCACAAGCAGGAGCTGACCAGCAAACGCTACCCACTGGCTCACCGACTTCGGCTTTTCAACAGCACTGTAGCACCAACAGCGCTATACGGAGCAGAGACGTGGACCCTCACGGGGCCTCTACGGCAGCATCTACGACGCACACAACGACGCATGCTTCGCATGATCATCAGAAGGCCACGGAAACGCACAACAAAAGAAGCCGGCCCTCACAGCGGCCAGGGACCGGATCTCGACGGCGCGAACAACGAAGGGCAATACCACGAATACCGCACCAACAACACTAGTGACGATGCAGACAGCAACCCATCACAGCGTGATGCGCCTGACGCGCCTGACAAGCACAGCGAAGACGGCGAAGACAGCACCACCGCAGACGAAATGGAACCATGGGTCGACTACATCCAGCGAGCGACACGACGCGCAGAACACCTCATGAAGCTCCACCACATCGACAATTGGGAGACGCTGCGCAAACGGAAAGTCTGGCGCATGGCTTCACGAGTCGCAAACCACGACTGGACGAGGTGGACATGGCGAGTGCTGCGCTGGCACCCAGTCCTCAACCCGCTCCAGCAGGGACACAGGCAGCACGGTGGCCAAAACAAGCGCTGGGACGACGAAATCACCACTTACTTACGTCAACGCAGACCAGACCTCCACCGACCGCCCACGCAAGCCCATTCAAAAGGACAACCGAACGACATCACATGGACGCAAACAGCCCAAGACACCGAAGCATGGACAGCGCTCGAGCACCACTTCACCGACCTCACGTCGACCAGCACCGGGGACTCAGACCATTGACGTAATCTCGCCCAACCCGCGCCGACACCGACACCAAGGTCTTTCTTTTCCTCCTCCTCCCCCTCTCCTCCTAACCTTTTACATGTCTCGCATTGCATGAATCCAGACACCTCAGATCCCAAAGGCCATGGCCTCACCCACCTGGTCTGCCTTAGGCCCGGACGCTGTCCGCAACGGTGGTCGCATCGCATCGCATCGCATCCCTCCGTCCTCCTTGCGCATCCCTCCTCCCTCTTCCTCCTCCTCCTCCCCTTTTTCCTCCCCCCCCACCTCCTCCCTGATTGCTCCCCCTCTGTCTTTTTTTCTCCCGTCCCTTCTCCCCTCCTCCCCCCTCCTCGTGCCTTCTCCCTCCTTGCCCTCTCCGTCCTGGGAAGACCCCCCTTCCCCGTATAATCATAACGTTGGTCAGCAGATCCACAGTTCCGTGGATAACATGATGTTTCACGTGCGGTGCCCGCGGATCCAATTTTCCAATGGGTCCAGGATGTGAATTAGTATTGTATATTCATTCCCGGACAATAAATGGATCCATTGGTTTTTCACGCGCGGGAAATTGGATTCGTGCACCACGAGAATAGGATCCACGACGCTGTCACACACCTGAAAAGGGATCCAATTCAACCCATCGGTGTTCTCATATTTCAATCCAAAAGGAACGAACTTTCGGCCTGGGGATGGATTCGATCCTGAGGACTGAGGATTCCTCGAGCAGTGGCGACGCGTCCCGGCATTTTTCTAGGTCTACCAAAACATGTTCTTAGAGCCTTTCTGGGGGCTACGACAGCGCAGCACGGCATGTCCGAACACGTGGTGCGGGCCCGTCCCTTTTCGGACACCAGCGTGCCGCTTCGGATTGCGGCGGCACGCTCGCATCAGCATCACCGGCCAGGAGCATGAAAACCGCTGGCCCAAAACACTTGCCCGGAACGTTTTCCAATGCAGGTTCTTCGAACATTTGCTTTATGCGGGAAGCGCGTCCAGAACAATCTTGTTCGGAACATTTTCCAAACATGTTCCAAAGACATTGTTTTTTGGGCCCCAGAGCGGAGCCTTGGCGGGGACATTTCTGGCCCAGCCCCAGAGTTTTCGCGGTTGCATATAGCCGACGCCGACGCGGTCGGACCCCCAATTGTTAAAAAACATTGTTTCATGTTATGACAACATGTTTGGTTCTAGGATTTTCTAGGCCAGGCTTATAATCCAATTGGGCCGGTTAGGGCTGTTATGGGGGTGTCTGTTGGGGCCCTCTTGGGCCCTGTTCATCTGTCCTGCGCCCCTCCTGGGCCGTCTTGGGCCCATCCTGGGGCTGCCCTGGGCCGTCTGGGCGGACCTCTTGGGGACCTCATGCTGTGCGCTTGGTCTCCCCTTGGCTTCGCCCAGCCCGTCTGCCAAACATCTTGCGACGAAACGTTCGGGAAACGCATAAGTGTGAAGGACCTAGGGAATGCCGTATGCATTGTAACCATCAGTTAGGTCTTCCTGGAGGGCCTCTTGCCTCGCAGCTGGTGTCTTGGAAGCCCTTTGAGGGTCCCTATGGCGCGTGTTGGGTTCTTTGCGGCGCTGTTGGGTGTTCCTCGAAACAATGATTGGCCACATTGTCGCGGAAAAGTGCACTTCGGTAGACCCATTGAAACATGTGTTGCCCCCTCCCTGGGAGCAGTGAATGTGGGTTGGGATGAGGAGGAGGAGGAGGAGGAGGAGGAGGAGGAGGAGGAGGATGATGATGAGGAGGAGGAGGAGGAGGAGGAGGAGGAGGATGAGGAGAAAGGGGGCTTTGTGTATGGGGCGTGATGATGACGATGATGATGAAAAGGCGGAGAAGCGAGAGAAGCACGAGGCTAAAGATGAGGGGGACGAGGCGGAGGAACGACGAGGAGGAGGAGGGAGGACGGGGTACATGAGCAGGAGAACGTTGAGAACCTCACGAGGACTAGGAAGAGCATGGAGGAGGATGAGGATGAGTTCGAGGAACATCATGGGGGAGGACTTGATGGGCAGTGCAAGGCGGCAGGGGCAGAAGAGGGCGTCGATCCTCGATGAGGAGGAGCATGTGTCCTCAACCTCAGGAGGTTAAGGACTCATGTTTGAGGACTCGTGTGGGGGCTGGTGAGGACTCCTGTTTGAGGTAGAGCAACGGTGGGCCCAGGTGGGTACCCCCAGGGGCTCTTGGGCCTTCTCTTTTCAGGGCCCTCCTAGCCGTTGGACGGTCTTCTCAGGGGGCTCACGCGGGGCCGCGACGAGGCGCCTTAGGCCATCGAGAGGCCTTCCAGTCCAGGGCCCTCCGGTTGCCTCGAGTTGCCCGACGACGACCGCGTCCTGACCCCCGGGCGCTCCCAGAGGTCCCGAGGGTCCCCGGACGCCCCCGTGCGGCCCCGGTGGCTGGCCGTGCACCCACAGGGAGCTCCCCTTGCGGCCCCAGTGGGCGCCGTCGCACGCCGCCCCCGACCCATTCATTTCAGCACATGCCTCACGCGGATCGTGCCCCACAGGGAGCTCCACCAGCGGCCCCAGTGGGCGCGTCCACATGCGGGGCCCCGCCCACTTCGGCACACCACTCACGCGGATCATGCGGTCTCCAGCTACGGCTCCAATCGAAGCCCTCGCCAGAGCAAAAAAATCGGATGGGAGGAAGAGGTGGGGGCCTGAGCAGAAGGCCATATGTGCAGAAATCGGCTTTTCACTTGGAGGAGGCTGTAGCAAAACCGAGCTGGTTGTCATCACATCACGTACTGTCTTCTGCTCCGCTGATGATGTATCTGCGGCGTGTTCAAACACCTGGCACCATGATTCGCCCAACTGACGCGCTCATATCGATCCGTTTCGGCTGTAGGCTCAAGGCTCCAGGTCACAGTTCTCTGCTCGCGCCCCGTTTGTGCTCAGCTTGCCAGAGACCCGCTGTGACAGCATGGCGCGTGCGATGCAGGTGATCGGCTTCGCTGCAGTGGCGTCGGCGGACATGGGGCCGTCCGCTCGGCAGCTCCGCGGCTACGCGGCAAACAGCACCTCGCTCGCGTCTGCGTCAGACTGCAGCAGTTTCTGCTGCTGGTGGCCGGCTGGGGAGTGCAGCGACTGCGGCACGGACTGGAACAACCGCATGTATGCCCCCGGTTGCCACGTGGAGTGCTCAGGCCCGAACTGCGGCCCTGGAAAGGCCCACCAGTACTACAACACGCAATCTGATTGGGACAGCAGTTGCTCCACTCGGGTGTGCGGCAGTGAACAGGGAGGCCTCAGCTCCGGACCTTCGTACTACTGCGGGGGCACCTGGAATGGGAACAACAACTGGGGCAGCAACTACGAGGGCCCGATCGTCAACACCGACACTGAGACTTGCAAGCGGTTGTGCGCTATGAGCGGGAGCAACAAGTGCACGGGTTGGACCGTGACCAACAACAACGAGTGCTACCTGAAGACAAGCGTCGGGGACATGCAGAGCGATGCGGGTGTTCAGGGCAGTGGCTACTGCTACCCCAGCTGCGGGGACCAGCAGAACCAGCATAACAACGATGGGCACAACTACGAGGGCCCGATCCAAGTGCAGAACGCAGAGTTCTGCAAGGTGAGGTGCCAGGCTTCCGGGGGCCAATGCAAGGGCTGGACTGTGACCAACAACGGTGAATGCTACCTGAAGGATAGCGTTGGGCCCATGAGGCCTGATATGGGAGTGCAGGCCAGCGGCAATTGCTAGCCCTGCGCAGCGGATGCTTTTGCCCCTCGCTCCTCTGGCGAGGTCTCGTGCCCACGAAGGTCAGGGCCAACAGCGGTGGCCAACAGCGCCCAGCCGCGTACAGACTGCATGACGGGTAGATTTTGCACGGGCCCCCCACAGCTCGGTGTTCAGACATCCACAGGAAACATCGGCAGGATCATGCGAAATCGCAATCGCACTAACACTCTGATACCGTACCGCTAGGCTTGCCAGTATCTGCGACGTTTCGTCATATGCCCAAGCAGTCCATGGTACGCCACTGCGTCATGCAGCAGTGCATCGCATAGTATTGCGTAGCATTGAAGAGCATGCGTAGCATTACATATCATTTGAATTGCATTGAAAACCGTGTCATTGCATATCATTGCATAACATTCTGTAGCATTCCGTAGCATTTCATGGGATTGCATAGCATGGCGTTGTGTGAGCATTGCAGAGCAGTGAATAGCACTTGGGCCCGTCTTGGATTGGTTTGGGGGGCCTCTTAGAGCATGTGGGAGGCCATCTGGAGCGATCTTGCGCTATCCTGAGCCATCTTGGAGGCCATCTTGGGCTCTCTAAGGCCCTCTTGGAGCAATTTTGGGTCATCTTGGACGCTCTGACCGCTTGCGGGGCGCCCAGTGCAGACCCAGGGGGGGGGGAAGAGGGAGAGGTAAACTCCTCCCCGAAGCGGAAGAAATTGAGGTTGGAAGATGAAACGCTCTACGGGAGCTCTTGGGCCCTCTTTGGCCGTCATGGGAGCTTCTTGGGGCCCTCTCCTTGGTCCGTCTTGGGGCCCTCTTGGCCCAGAAAAGGGCAAGTGACAACATGGGGAGAGCCCCTGGAAGCACGCCAGGAGCTTGGGAGATTTTGGGAGTTTGCGGTCCGGGGCTGTGAGTACTTACGCAGGCCGAAAGGTTTTCCGCTTGAGCCGCGAATGTCGGAAGCGAAGTGCCGTTCAGTATGAGCGGATACATGTGGCACTCTCTTCGGTTTTGGGCATGCCATATGGTATGGGAGGAAATGCGGGAGTTGGCCAGGCCCGTTGTGGCGTTCGAGCAACCTTATGTCATGGGAGGATTTTTCGGGCGATGGCCAGGCCCGGTGTGGCGCTCGAGCAACCACATGTTATGGGAGGGGCTGAGGGGGGAGGCCCGGCTCGCTGTGGTGCTCGATATTCCGATTTTGACACTTTGCTTGCCTGTCCTCCTGCTCCCCGTCCTCCCTCCTCCCTCCTCCTTCCACCTCCCCCCTCCTCCCCCCGCCTCCTCCCTCCCCTTTCCTCCTTCCGCATCCCTCCTCCCTCTTGCGCCTCCTCCCCTTTTTCCTCCCCCCCACCTCCTCCCTGAATGTTCCTCCTCTCTCTTACCTTCTCCCGTCCCTTCTCCCCTCCTCCCCTCTCCTCGTGCCTCCTCCCTCCTCCTTCCCCTAGCCGTCCTTGGAAGACGCCCCCTCCCTCGTATAATCATAGCTTTGGTCAGCAGATACACAGTTCCGTGGATGGCATGATGCTTCACGTGCGGTGCCCCGCGGATCCGGTTTCCAGTGGGTCCAGGATGTGAGTCATTATTTTATGTATATTCCCGGAAGATTCGCCGGCCCAACGGGCCAGAGGCGCGCCAAGATCTCCGGTAATTGGTAAACAATATTTCTACTTCGCGCGTGCGGGGCGGCCCCTGGGGGTCCCTGGACAAGAAGTACACCAGGACGGTCCCGTCAGATATGGTTTTCCGCCTGGGCGCGGTTGTCCTGCGCCCCAGAGCGCTCCAAGAAGGCTTCAAGCTGTCCTCAAGATGTCTCTGGGTCGCTTCCCGATCGGTCCAAGACGCCCAAGATGGCCTCCACATGGCCGCAGACGCCTCCACGACGCCCACAGAGGCCTCCAAGAAGCGTCTCAAAAAGGGCCCTAGGAAGCAAAAGTCACTGATCCCCTTTTTAGGTTTTTGATGGATTGTGGTGTTCTCACCTGTTTCCCGAGGCTCCAAGACGGCCCTAGAGGCTCCAAATTTCGTCCCACGACAGCCCAGGAGGCTTCCAAGAGGGCCCCAGGAAGGCCTTCGAGGGGGCCCCAAGACTGCCCAAGAGGCTTCCAAGACGGCCCAAGATGGCCTCAGGACGGTCCACAGGGGGATCCAATTGGATCCATCGGTGTTCTCATATTTAATCCACGAGGAAAAAGTTCGGCCTGGGGATGTATTCGATCCTGAGGACTGAGGGTTCGTCGAACAATGGCGGCGCGTCCCGGCATTTTGTAGGTCTACCAACACATGTTTTTAGAACCTTGAGGGGGTTAGAACAGCGCAGCACGGCATGTCCGACTACGTGGTGCGGGCCCGTCCTCTTTCGGACACCAGCGTGCCGCCCCAGGCTGCGGCGGCACGCTCGCATCAGAAAAAAACACCGGTCCGGAACATAAAAACCAATGGCCCAAAACATTAGCCCGGAACATTTTCCAGTGGAGATTCTTGGAACATTTGCTCTATGCGGGAAGCGCGTCCAGAACAATCATGTTCGGAACATTTCCAACATGTTCTAAACATATTGTTTTTTTGGGCCCCAGAGCGGGGCCTTGGCGGGGGCATTTCTGGCCCACCCCAAGAGTTTTCGCGGTTGCATACAGCCGACGTCAACGCGATCGGACCCCCAATTGTTCTAAACACATTGTTTATGTTATGATACCATGCTTGGTTCTAGGATTTTTTCTGGCCAGGCTTAGAGCCCAACTGAGACGGTCGGTCACTGCTCAACTCTCGGCCGCTTGGGGAGTCTCTTAAGGCTGTCATGGGGGCGTCTCTTGGGGCCCTCTTGGGCCCTGTTCATCTGTCCTGCGCCCCTCCTGGGCCCATCCTGGGGCTGCCCTGGGCCGTCTGGGGCCCATCCTGGGGCTGCCCTGGGCCGTCTGGGGGGACCTCTTGGGGACCTCGTGCTGCGCGCTTGGCCTCCCCTTGGCTTCGCCCAGGCCGTCTGCCAAACATCTTGAGCTGACATGTTCGGGAAACGCATAAGTTTGCAGGACCTAGGGAATGCCGTATGCATTGTAACCATCTGGCCTTCCTGGAGGGCCTTTTGGCCTCGCAGCTGGTGTCTTGGACGCCCTTTGAGGGTCCCTGTGGCGCCTCTTGGGTTCTTTGCGGCGCTGTTGGGTGTTCCTCGAGACAATGTTTGGCCACTTTGTCGCGGAAAAGTGAATTTCGGTAGCCCCATTGAAACATGTGTGGGAGGAGGAGGAAAGGGGAAACTGAGTATGGGGCGTGATGATGATGATGATGATGATGATGATGATGATGATGATGACGATGATGAGGATGATGATGATGATGATGATGATGATGACGATGATGATGATGATGATGATGATGATGATGATGATGATGATGATGATGATGATGATGATGATGATGATGATGATGATGAGGCGGAGAAGCGAGAGAAGCACGAGGCTAAAGATGATGGGGGCGAGGATGGGGAAGGACGAGGAGGAGGAGGAAGGATGACGGGGTACATGAGCAGCAGAACGTTGAGAAAATTTCGAGGACTAGGAAGAGCATGGATGAGGATGAGGATGAGTTCGAGGAACATCATGGGGGAAGACTTGCTGGGCAGTGGAAGGCGGCAGGGGCAGAAGAGGGCGTCGATCGTCGATGAGGAGCATGGGTCCTCAACCTCAGGAGGTTGAGGACTCATGTTTGAGGACTCGTGTGGGGGCTGGTGAGGACTCATCTTTGAGGTAGAGCAACGGTGGGCCCATGTGGAGGGCTCTTGGGCCTTTTTTGGCCCTCCTAGCCGTTGGACGATTTTCTCAGGGGGCTCACGCGGGGCCGCGTCGAGGCCGTTTTAGGCCATCGAGAGGCCCTCCAGGGCCCTCCGCTTGCCTCGAGTTGCTCAACGACGACCGCGTCCTGACCCCCGGGCGCTCCCAGAGGTCCCGAGGGTCCCCGGACGCCCCTGTGCGGCCCCGGTGGCTGGCCGTGCACCCACAGGGAGCTCCACTTGCGGCCCCAGTGGGCGCCGTCGCACGCCGCCCCCCGCTCATTTCAGCACACGCCTCACGCGGATCGTGCACCACAAGGAGCTCCACCTGCGGCCCCAGTGGGCGCCGTCGCATGCCGCCCTCGACCCACTTCGGCACATGCCTCACGCGGATCGTGCCCCACAGGGAGCTCACCAGCGGCCCCAGTGGGCGCGTCCACATGCGGGGCCCCGCCCACTTCGGCACACCACTCACGCGGATCATGCGGATCTCCAGCTACGGCTCCAATCGAAGCCCTCGCCAGAGCAAAAAATTCGGATGGGAGGAAGAGGTGGGGGCCTGAGCAGAAGGCCATATTTGCAGAAATCGGCTTTTCACTTGGAGGAGGCTGTAGCAAAACCGAGCCGGTTGTCATCACATCACGTACTGTCTTCTGCTCCGCTGATAATGTATCTGCGGCGTGTTCAAACATTTGGCACCATGATTCGCCCAACTGACGCGCTCATGTCGATCCGTTTCGGCTGTAGGCTCAAGGCTCCAGGTCACAGTTCTCTACTCGCGCCCCGTTTGTGCTCAGCTTGCCAGAGACCCGCTGTGACAACATGGCGCGTGCGATGCAGGTGATCGGCTTCGCTGCAGTGGCGTCGGCGGACATGGGGCCGTCCGCTCGGCAGCTCCGAGGCTACGCGGCAAACAGCACCTCGCTCGCGTCTGCGTCAGACTGCAGCAGTTTCTGCTGCTGGTGGCCGGCTGGGGAGTGCAGCGACTGCGGCACGGACTGGAACAACCGCATGTATGCCCCCGGTTGCCACGTGGACTGCTCAGGCCCGAACTGCGGCCCTGGAAAGGCCCACCAGTACTACAACACGCAATCTGATTGGGACAGCAGTTGCTCCACTCGGGTGTGCGGCAGTGAACAGGGAGGCCTCAGCTCCGGACCTTCGTACTACTGCGGGGGCACCTGGAATGGGAACAACAACTGGGGCAGCAACTACGAGGGCCCGATCGTCAACACCGACACTGAGACTTGCAAGCGGTTGTGCGGTATGAGCGGGAGCAACAAGTGCACGGGTTGGACCGTGACCAACAACAACGAGTGCTACCTGAAGACAAGCGTCGGGGACATGCAGAGCGATGCGGGCGTTCAGGGCAGCGGCTACTGCTACCCCAGCTGCGGGGACCAGCAGAACCAGCAGAACAACGATGGGCACAACTACGAGGGCCCGATCCAAGTGCAGAACGCAGAGTTCTGCAAGGTGAGGTGCCAGGCTTCCGGGGGCCAATGCAAGGGCTGGACTGTGACCAACAACGGTGAATGCTACCTGAAGGATAGCGTTGGGCCCATGAGGCCTGATGGGGGAGTGCAGGCCAGCGGCAATTGCTAGCCCTGCGCAGCGGATGCTTTTGCCCCGCGCTCCTCTGGCGAGGTCTCGTGCCCGCGAAGGTCAGGGCCAACAGCGGTGGCCAACAGCGCCCAGCCGCGTACAGAATGCATGTCGGGTAGATTCTGCACGGGCCCCCACAGCTCGGTGTTCAGACATCCACAGGAAACATCGGCAGGATCATGCGAAATCACAATCGCACTAACACTCTGATACCGTACCGCTAGGCTTGCCTATCTGCGACGTTTCGTCATATGCCCAAGCAGTCCATGGTATGCCACTGCGTCATGCAGCAGTGCGTCGCATAGTATTGCGTAGCATTGAAGAGCATGCGTAGCATTACACATCATTTGAATTGCATTGAAAGCCGTATCATTGCATATCATTGCATAACATTATGTAGCATTCCGTAGCATTTCATGGGATTGCATAGCATGGCGTTGTGTGAGCATTGCAGAGCATTGAATAGCACTTGGGCCCGTCTTGGATTGGTTTGGGGGGCCTTTTAGAGCATGTGGGAGGCCATCTGGAGCGATCTTGCGCTATCCTGAGCCATCTTGGAGGCCATCTTGGGCTCTCTAAGGCCCTCTTGGAGCAATTTTGGGTCATCTTGGACGCTCTGACCGCTTGCGGGGCGCCCAGTGCAGACCCAGGGGGGGGGAAGAGGGAGAGGTAAACTCCTCCCCGAAGCGGAAGAAATTGAGGTTGGAAGAGGAAACGCTCTACGGGAGCTCTTGGGCCCTCTTTGGCCGTCATGGGAGCTTCTTGGGGCCCTCTCCTTGGTCCGTCTTGGGGCCCTCTTGGCCCAGAAAAGGGCAAGTGACAACATGGGGGGAGCCCCTGGAAGCACGCCAGGAGCTTGGGAGATTTTGGGAGCTTGCGGTCCGGGGCTGTGAGTACTTACGCAGGCCGAAAGGTTTTCCGCTTGAGCCGCGAATGTCGGAAGCGAAGTGCCGTTCAGTATGAGCGGATACATGTGGCACTCTCTTCGGTTTTGGGCATGCCATATGATATGGGAGGAAATGCGGGAGTTGGCCAGGCCCGTTGTGGCATTCGAGCAACCTTATCTCATGGGAGGATTTTTCGGGCGATGGCCAGGCCCGGTGTGGCGCTCGAGCAACCACATGTTATGGGAGGGGCTGAGGGGGGAGGCCCGGCTCGCTGTGGTGCTCGATATTCCGATTTTGACACTTTGCTTGCCTGTCCTCCTGCTCTACGGCTCCCCTCCCTCCATCCTTCCACCTCCCCCTCCTCCCCCCGCATCCTCCCTCCCCTTTCCTCCTTCAGGCAGCCCTCCTCCACCTTGCTCCTCTCCCTTTTTCCTCCCCCCCACCTTCCGACCTGAATGTTCCTCCTCTCTCTTACCTTCTCCCGTCCCTTCTCCCCTCCTCCCCTCTCCTCGTGCCTCCTCCCTCCTCCTTCCCCTAGCCGTCCTTGGAAGACCCCCCCTCCCTCGTAGAATCATAGCTTTGGTCAGCAGATACACAGTTCCGTGGATGGCATGATGCTTCACGTGCGGTGCCCCGTGGATCCGGTTTCCAGTGGGTCCAGGATGTGAGTCATTATTTTATGTACATTCCCGGAAAATTCGCCGGCCCAACGGGCCAGAGGCGCGCCAAGACCTCCGGTAATTGGTAAACAATATTTCTACTTCGCGCGCGTGGGGCGGCCCCTGGGGGTCCCTGGGCGAGAAGTACACTGGGACGGTCCCGTCAGAGATGGTTTTCCGCCTGGGCGCGGTTGTCCGGCGCCCCAGAGCGCTCCAAGAAGGCTTCAAGCTGTCCTCAAGATGTCTCTGGGTCGCTTCCCGATCGGTCCAAGACGCCCAAGATGGCCTCCACATGGCCGCAGACGCCTCCACGACGCCCACAGAGGCCTCCAAGAAGCGTCTCAAAAGGGCCCTAGGAAGCAAAAGTCACTGATCCCCTTCTTAGGTTTTTGATGGATTGTGGTGTTCTCACCTGTTCGGTTTCCCGAGGCTCCAGGACGGCCCTAGAGGCTCCAAATTTTGTCCCACGACAGCCCAGGAGGCTTCCAAGAGGGCCCCAGGAAGGCCTTCGAGGGGGCCTCAAGACTGCCCAAGAAGCCTCCAAGACGGCCCAAGATGGCCTCAGGACGGTCCACAGGGGGATCCAATTGGATCCATCGGTGTTCTCATATTTAATCCACGAGGAAAAAATTCGGCCTGGGGATGTATTCGATCCTGAGGATTGAGGGTTCGTCGAACAATGGCGACCCGTCCCGGCATTTTGTAGGTCTACCAAAACATGTTTTTAGAACCTTTTGGGGGTTAGAACAGCGCAGCACGGCATGTCCGAATACGTGGTGCGGGCCCGTCCTCTTTCGGACACCAGCGTGCCGCCCCAGGCCGGCGGCACGTTCGCATCAGCAAAAAACACCGGCCCGGAACATAAAAACCAATGGCCCAAAACATTAGCCTGGAACATTTTCCAGTGCAGATTCTTGGAACATTTGCTCTATGCGGGAAGCGCGTCCAGAACAATCATGTTCGGAACATTTCCAACATGTTCTAAATATATTGTTTTTTGGGCCCCAGAGCGGGGCCTTGGCGGGGGCATTTCTGGCCCACCCCAAGAGTTTTCGCGGTTGCATACAGCCGACGTCAACGCGATCGGACCCCCAATTGTTCTAAACACATTGTTTATGTTATGATATCATGCTTGGTTCTAGGACTTTTTCTGGCCAGACTTAGAGTCCAACTGAGACGGTCGGTCACTGCTCAACTCTCGGCCGCTTGGGGAGTCTCTTAAGGCTGTCATGGGGGCGTCTCTTGGGGCCCTCTTGGGCCCTGTTCATCTGTCCTGCGCCCCTCCTGGGCCCATCCTGGGGCTGCCCTGGGCCGTCTGGGGCCCATCCTGGGGCTGCCCTGGGCCGTCTGGGGGGACCTCTTGGGGACCTCGTGCTGCGCGCTTGGCCTCCCCTTGGCTTCGCCCAGGCCGTCTGCCAAACATCTTGAGCTGACATGTTCGGGAAACGCATAAGTGTGAAGGACCTAGGGAATGCCGTATGCATTGTAACCATCTGGCCTTCCTGGAGGGCCTTTTGGCCTCGCAGCTGGTGTCTTGGACGCCACTTAGTCGCGGAAAAGTGAATTCCGGTAGCCCCATTGAAACATGTGTGGGAGGAGGAGGAAAGGGGAAACTGAGTATGGGGCGTGATGATGATGATGATGATGATGATGATGATGATGATGATGATGATGATGATGATGATGATGATGATGATGATGATGATGATGATGATGATGCGGATAAGCGAGAGAAGCACGAGGCTAAAGATGAGGGGGGCGAGGATGGGGAAGGACGAGGAGGAGGAGGAGGAAGGAGGACGGGGTACATGAGCAGCAGAACGTTGAGAAAATTTCGAGGACTAGGAAGAGCATGGATGAGGATGAGGATGAGTTCGAGGAACATCATGGGGGAAGATTTGCTGGGCAGTGGAAGGCGGCAGGGGCAGAAGAGGGCGTCGATCGTCGATGAGGAGCATGGGTCCTCAACCTCAGGAGGTTGAGGACTCATGTTTGAGGACTCGTGTGGGGGCTGGTGAGGACTCATCTTTGAGGTAGAGCAACGGTGGGCCCAAGTGGAGGGCTCTTGGGCCTTTTTTGGGCCCTCCTAGCCGTTGGACGCTTTTCTCAGGGGGCTCACGCGGGGCCGCGTCGAGGCCGTTTTAGGCCATCGAGAGGCCCTCCAGGGCCCTCCGCTTGCCTCGAGTTGCCCAACGACGACCGCGTCCTGACCCCCGGGCGCTCCCAGAGGTCCCGAGGGTCCCCGGACGCCCCTGTGCGGCCCCGGTGGCTGGCCGTGCACCCACAGGGAGCTCCACTTGCGGCCCCAGTGGGCGCCGTCGCACGCCGCCCCCCGCTCATTTCAGCACACGCCTCACGCGGATCGTGCACCACAAGGAGCTCCACCTGCGGCCCCAGTGGGCGCCGTCGCATGCCGCCCTCGACCCACTTCGGCACATGCCTCACGCGGATCGTGCCCCACAGGGAGCTCACCAGCGGCCCCAGTGGGCGCGTCCACATGCGGGGCCCCGCCCACTTCGGCACACCACTCACGCGGATCATGCGGATCTCCAGCTACGGCTCCAATCGAAGCCCTCGCCAGAGCAAAAAATTCGGATGGGAGGAAGAGGTGGGGGCCTGAGCAGAAGGCCATATTTGCAGAAATCGGCTTTTCACTTGGAGGAGGCTGTAGCAAAACCGAGCCGGTTGTCATTACACGTACTGTCTTCTGCTCCGCTGATAATGTATCTGCGGCGTGTTCAATCACCTGGCACCTTGATTCGCCCAACTGACGCGCTCATATCGATCCGTTTCGGCTGTAGGCTCAAGGCTCCAGGTCACAGTTCTCTACTCGCGCCCCGTTTGTGCTCAGCTTGCCAGAGACCCGCTGTGACAGCATGGCGCGTGCGATGCAGGTGATCGGCTTCGCTGCAGTGGCGTCGGCGGACATGGGGCCGTCCGCTCGGCAGCTCCGCGGCTACGCGGCAAACAGCACCTCGCTCGCGTCTGCGTCAGACTGCAGCAGTTTCTGCTGCTGGTGGCCGGCTGGGGAGTGCAGCGACTGCGGCACGGACTGGAACAGCCGCATGTATGCCCCTGGTTGCCACGTGGAGTGCTCAGGCCCGAACTGCGGCCCTGGAAAGGCCCACCAGTACTACAACACGCAATCTGATTGGGACAGCAGTTGCTCCACTCGGGTGTGCGGCAGTTAACAGGGAGGCCTCAGCTCCGGACCTTCGTACTACTGCGGGGGCACCTGGAATGGGAACAACAACTGGGGCAGCAACTACGAGGGCCCGATCGTCAACACCGACACTGAGACTTGCAAGCGATTGTGCGGTATGAGCGGGAGCAACAAGTGCACGGGTTGGACCGTGACCAACAACAACGAGTGCTACCTGAAGACAAGCGTCGGGGACATGCAGAGCGATGCGGGCGTTCAGGGCAGCGGCTACTGCTACCCCAGCTGCGGGGACCAGCAGAACCAGCAGAACAACGATGGGCACAATTACGAGGGCCCGATCCAAGTGCAGAACGCAGAGTTCTGCAAGGTGAGGTGCCAGGCTTCCGGGGGCCAATGCAAGGGCTGGACTGTGACCAACAACGGTGAATGCTACCTGAAGGATAGCGTTGGGCCCATGAGGCCTGATGGGGGGGGGAGTGCAGGCCAGCGGCAGTTGCTAGCCCTGCGCAGCGAATGCTTTTGCCCCACGCTCCTCTCGCGAGGTCTCGTGCCCGCGAAGGTCAGGGCCAACAGCGGTGGCCAACAGCGCTCAACCGCGTACAGAATGCATGTCGGGTAGTTTCCGCACGGGCCCCTCTCAGCTCGGAGTTCAGACATCCACAGCAAACATCGGCATGATCATGCGAAATCGCAATCGCACTAACAATCTGATACTGTACCGCTAGGCTTGCCAGGATCTGCGACGTTTCGTCATATGCCCAAGCAGTCCATGGCACGCCACTGCGTCATGCAGCAGTGCGTCGCATAGTATTGCGTAACATTGCAGATCATGTATAGCACTACATATCATTTGCATTGCATTGAAAACCGTAGCGTGGCATAGCATTGCATAACATTCCGTAGCATTTCATGGGGTTGGAGTGCATGGCGTTGTGTTAGCATTGCAGAGCATTGAATAGCACTTGGGCCCGTCTTGGATTGGTCTGGGGGGCCTCTTAGAGCATGTGGGAGGCCATCTGGAGCGATCTTGCGCTATCCTGAACCATCTTGGAGGCCATCTGGGGCTCTCTGAGGCCCTCTTGGAGCAATTTTGGGTCATCTTGGACGCTCTGACCGCTCGCGGGGCGCCCAGTGCAGACCCAGGGGGTGGGGGTAGAGGGAGAGGTAAGCTCTTTCCCGAAGCGGAAGAAACTGAGGTTGGAAGAGGAAACGCTCTACGGGAGCTCTTGGGCCGTCATGGGAGCTTCTTGTGGCCCTCTCCTTGGCCCGTCTTGGGGCTCTCTTGGCCCAGAGAAGGTCAAGTGACTACATGGGGGAGCCCCTGGAAACACGCCGGGGGCTTGGGAGATTTGAGAGTTTGCGATCCGGTGCTGTGAATATTTACGCAGGCCGAAAAGTTTCCCGTTTGAGCCCCGAATGTCGGAAGCGACGTGCCGTTCAAGTGAGCGGATACATGTAGCGTTCTTTTCGGTTTGGGCATGCCATATGTTATGGGAGGACATGCGGGAGTTGGCCGGGCCCGTTGTGGCGTTCGAGCAACCTTATGTTATGGGAGGATTTTTCGGAGATGGCCAGGCCCGGTGTGGCGTTCGAGCAACCACATGTTATGGGAGGGGTTGAGGGAGGTGGCCCAGCCCGCTGTGGTGCTCGATCTTCCGATTTTGACACTTTGCTTGCCTGTCCTCCTGCTCCCCGTCCTCCCTCCTCCCTCCTCCTTCCACCTCCCCCCTCCTCCCCCCGCCTCCTCCCTCCCCTTTCCTCCTTCCGCATCCCTCCTCCCTCTTGCTCCTCCTCCTCCCCTTTTTCCTCCCCCCCCACCTCCTCCCTGAATGTTCCTCCTCTCTCTTACCTTCTCCCGTCCCTTCTCCCCTCCTCCCCTCTCCTCGTGCCTCCTCCCTCCTCCTTCCCCTAGCCGTCCTTGGAAGACCCCCCCTCCCTCGTAGAATCATAGCTTTGGTCAGCAGATACACAGTTCCGTGGATGGCATGATGCTTCACGTGCGGTGCCCCGCGGATCCGGTTTCCAGTGGGTCCAGGATGTGAGTCATTATTTTATGTATATTCCCGGAAAATTCGCCGGCCCAACGGGCCAGAGGCGCGCCAAGATCTCCGGTAATTGGTAAACAATATTTCCACTTCGCGCGTGCGGGGCGGCCCCTGGGGTCCCTGGACGAGAAGTACACCGGGACGGTCCCGTCAGAGATGGTTTCCCGCCTGGGCGCGGTTGTCCGGCGCCCCAGAACGCTCCAAGAAGGCTTCAAGCTGTCCTCAAGATGTCTCTGGGTCGCTTCCCGATCGGTCCAAGACGCCCAAGATGGCTTCCACATGGCCGCAGACGCCTCCACGACGCCCACAGAGGCCTCCAAGAAGCGTCTCAAAAGGGCCCTAGGAAGCAAAAGTCACTGATCCCCTTTTTAGGTTTTTGATGGATTATGGTGTTCTCACCTGTTCGGTTTCCCGAGGCTCCAAGACGGCCCTAGAGGCTCCAAATTTCGTCCCACGACAGCCCAGGAGGCTTCCAAGAGGGCCCCCAGGAAGGCCTTCGAGGGGGCCCCAAGACTGCCCAAGAGGCCTCCAAGACGGCCCAAGATGGCCTCAGGACGGTCCACCACAGGGGGATCCAATTGGATCCATCGGTGTTCTCATCCACGAGGAAAGAATTCGGCCTGGGGATGTATTCGATCCTGAGGAGTGAGGGTTCGTCGAACAATGGCGGCGCGTCCCGGCATTTTGTAGGTCTACCAACACATGTTTTTAGAACCTTCTGGGGGTTAGAACAGCGCAGCACGGCATGTCCGACTACGTGGTGCGGGCCCGTCCTCTTTCGGACACCAGCGTGCCGCCCCAGGCTGCGGCGGCACGCTCGCATCAGAAAAAAACACCGGCCCGGAACATAAAAACCAATGGCTCAAAACATTAGCCCGGAACATTTTCCAGTGGAGATTCTTGGAACATTTGCTCTATGCGGGAAGCGCGTCCAGAACAACCATGTTCGGAACATTTCCAACATGTTCTAAACATATTGTTTTTTGGGCCCCAGAGCGGGGCCTTGGCGGGGGCATTTCTGGCCCACCCCAAGAGTTTTCGCGGTTGCATACAGCCGACGTCAACGCGATCGGACCCCCAATTGTTCTGAACACATTGTTTATGTTATGATATCATGCTTGGTTCTAGGACTTTTTCTGGCCAGGCTTAGAGTCCAACTGAGACGGTCGGTCACTGCTCAACTCTCGGCCGCTTGGGGAGTCTCTTAAGGTTGTCATGGGGGCGTCTCTTGGGGCCCTCTTGGGCCCTGTTCATCTGTCCTGCGCCCCTCCTGGGCCCATCCTGGGGCTGCCCTGGGCCGTCTGGGGCCCATCCTG